TGGGCGCAGTTGCACAAGATGCTGAAGAGGCATTCTCAAAAACTCATGCGGGTGCACCCTGGCAGTGCGAGGGTCATCTAAACTTTCCTTACTTTTGGACATAGGCGTACGAGCGTTTCCAAAAGTGGGGGCCAAGCTCAGGATGTACTTCAGAAGCTTTTTTCCTGGAAAGCGAGCCCGATGGCCGGGGGGGGGGGGGGGTATGGAGGCTGTTATCGCTCTTTATTCAAATGTCATGGCTGCTTTGCTAGATATGCATCTAGAGCTGTTTATCACTGGTGCACAATCTTGCCTGTCCGACCCATCTGTCATTTGGCAAATAAGGCTATTCAGCTTCAATAGATGATTCGTCCATTTTACATTGTCTTTCCTGAGGAGACGAAATTCCACGAGCCGGTAGGTATTTTGGGTCATTAAGGAAGCATTTGCCACCACAGTGTAGATGCCAAAATACGGCATGGATATAGGCTGGTGAGAATTTTGAAAGTGGATCGATGGTTCACAATGCGTCAGATTTTTTATGCGCATTCATTTCGCTGGCTGCTTTTCAAGAAACAAGACTTGTCGCAGCATTTTAGGCTGAAACAAATTCGGGAGCTTGAAAATGCTAGAAACGAATGTGACAAAATCCATAAAAGTGGAGATTCACTTTTAAGAATCAGGCCATCCAATAAGGCCCATCTGTCATGTGTTCCTTATCTGGGCCCTGCTTCTGTCCGCCGTCGGTGGTCACTGCCCCGGCCTGGATGTCTCCCGTATGACTGACTACGAGCTGATCGTGTGGCTACTTTGTTGTATACTTTTGGATCAGCGTTACTTCTACATGGTGTATGAAACATGTGTTGGACACCTGCAACAGTATTTTTCCCCAATTGTTTTCCTTTACACCACACCATCGCAGAAAAATAGCCCCCTGGGAGGCTGTCTGCCTTAGGAATGGATTAGCCCGACGGACACTTCACTGCGCATCATGCAACGTACGCGACTTGATCTGTTTTTGTGTGTAGACAGGGGCGTAGCCGGAGCCTTGCCAAGGGGGAACACAGGGCTGACAAAAGCCCATCTTATGGTGACCCCCTCCCCCCAAATCCCCGGATATGGCTCGCTGGTTAACAAGTGACACGGTTTTCTTCGTTTTATTGTTATTTTTACCTTGTAACCAGAACAGAAACCAGGAGTTGCCGTGAACTCAATCCTGTTTGCATTTTAAGATTAATAAGCTGCAGAAATCAGGCATTGAACAACTGTACGGAAGAAATCACCGGCGCTCGTAATTTGCAATGGTCAGCTGACTCTTTCTTAGCCGATAAAATTCAGAAGCTTTGTCAATTTTTCATCTGGGTTCTACAGACATTGAGGACTTCGCGAAGGTAGATTGCAGATCGATTGTTTGATCCAAATTTGAAGACGAAAATTTGATTGCAAATCGGGTGGCCAACAATGTGTATTAACGTCGCCAAGCCATATTTGTCTAAAAATGTTCATCATTCAGTCAGAATTGACTAGTGATACAATTCATGTAACATGTCTTTTAACATGCTGGCTCGCGAATCTTAGCAACAAAAACCTCGACACCAGGCGTTGCAGTCTCCACGGTCCTCGGAACGTTAGCCCAGCAGTTAACATTTAGCCGTGCCCCACCGGTAGACGAAAAAGACGTCGCTTCTAAAATGATTACCTTTAAACACTTAAATCAACTAGTTTTACAAGTTATGTGGCGTAATTTTGAGCATGCGCACTCCAAAATTCTAGAAACACAAGCCTCGACCCCAGGTGTTGGGGTCCCCGTAGGCCGCGCAGCGTCGGCCTAGCAGCTAATATTAAGTTGTGGCCAACGGGTGGACAAAAATGACGGCGTTTCTGAGAAAATATCCTTGGACCCTTCATGACATCAGGTTTGCATTTAAAAGGTAGTCTTAGGGCATATTTCAGCGTGCAATTTTTAGATCGATGAAAAGAACAGATTGGATGCTAAAGCACCGCGAAGTGGGGCTGGAAGCTGGTGGTTGAACTGGAAGAGTGAAGGTAAAATCTCCATTTCTCGTGTTTCCGCAACTATTTATCTGTCCAGAAGACAGATTAGCGTGGCGCCTGCCGTCTGATGGCACTTACAGTGGCTGAAACTTACCGGTTTTTTGGAAGTTGCAACTCAGACCATCCTCGCCCTTGCTCTCAAAGCTGCGGGCGGGCATCTTCAAGCCTTTTGATGTAATTTGTTTCAATAATACATTCTGAAAGAAATGAACATTCTCAGGCAAACGTGACATTACATTGCTTGCTTTTTAAATCTATTTCTGCCCGTGCTTTTCAACAATAATGAGAGCCCCACTCTACTCAACAATAATGAGACCTCTTATTCCCTTCCGGGTAAGGGGCCTCTTGAGTAGAACACCAGGTGTACACTACCGTTTCCGGTCAAGCGCTGAAGGGCCATTCCGTCCCATCGCGAAGTGTCTTCTGGCTATCATTCTGGTGGCACGGGGCGGGATTTCCTGGTTGATCCGGAGGCCATTAGAAGGACACGGGAGGCCTTCTGATCCGCGCAGTTAGCCCCGAATCAGGACAGGGACCCTCACTGACGCAACGACGTCCCTGATCACCGCAGGTAGTCCGACGGTTTTCACATAGACTCCAGTTCCATGTTTTTCTGTGTTCTTCAGGCATATTGAGTTCTCCCTGAATGTATATTGCAGATGAAATAGGGTTGATAATTTATATTAACATGGCTAGCCCATATTCGTCTTATAATGCTCAAGATCCTGTCAGAGCTGATTACTGATAAGAAAACTACGTGATATGGTGTTGAACATGCGTGCTCGCAAGTCATAGAAATAACAGCCTCAACACCCGGCGTTGCAGTCTCCAGGCCGTGCGGCGTCGGTCTTGCGGCTGTAACACTAAGTGTGGCCAATGAGCAAACGGAAAAAAAAATGACGCATCTTAAGAGAGATGGCTGGTGAACTGGGTAAATCGGCATGCATGTTTAATGCAGTACAAAAGTAAGCCAAATGCAACCTTAATCTGAAAAGCGAGGGGGCCAGTTAACATTGCTTGCCCGCCACCTTGAAAAGTGGAGGGGGGCCATGGCCCCCGGCCCCCCCCCCCCCACCCTCCCTGTTCCTACCCCCATGCTTTTGGAGACGCGTTAACAGTACGAAAGCGTTTGCTTCGCTGTTGTTAGGTCAGAAAATGTAGGAAGATCTGAGGCAGAGAAGTGGCTTTATGAGTGACGGATTTTTTTTCGAGGTGAAAACAGACGGATAGAGCAGCACAGTTTGATTTTGATGGATCTCATTTCACTGGCTCATTCTACGTGTAGCTTTAGGCGTCATAATTAGACGCTTAAAACAAATACACTCCACTAAATGCACCCAATTACAACAGACCTGATGTACACCACCTGTTTGAAAGGTTTCGGTTCATCTCAAAGACAATACGTGATTTTTTATGTGATTTTTGGACATCGCTACACATAACGATGATCACAGTTAACACAACGCAGCACGACCTCTGCGCATAACAGGATAGCTTTAAAAGACACAACAATCACGCAGCGAAATATCCTTTTGACTGCGTATGAAAAGACTGCCGTGCCCTTTGCAAAGAATATGCAGGTCCCATGGTATTCGATGGCGACTTTTTTGGTGAATGTGAAATTTTTTCTAATCTCCTAATGTGCAGAAAATTGCTGCAACACCTTAATACTGGGAAGTTTTCGATTTAAAGCGGGTGCCACATGCAAACAAATGGTTTCGGATGACCGAAAGGTATGGGCTAGACAGAATGCAACCCGTCAGTCAGACCTTCCTGAATGTGACTGACTCTACAATTTAAATCATGAGAGATTGACCCCACGTAAGATCCTTCGCACGAAACGCAGCAATATATATATAAATATATATATATATATATATATATATATATATATATATATATATATATATATATATATATATATGTGTGTGTGTGTGTGTGTGTGTGTGTGTGTGTGTGTGTGTGTGTGTGTGTGTGTGTGTATAAATGGATGCAGATATAGAACGTTTGGGAAGCTTGTCTTCTAAGTTAAATAAAAATTCAACAATAAAATAGTTCACTGGTATCATTATAGCTGACAGAAAAGGGTAAAAACCTTGTGGCAGGTTTGCAAGCCGATTTTTCAGTCGTATCGACTATTTTCCAAAATGGGGCAACACCAAATATGTATTTATTCCTAGGACTAAATGAACTTTTTGACATATTTTTGACATATTTTGACGTATTTTGCATCGAAGCCTTTTATTTAACTATTAATGGTTGAAAATGGGAAGCCGTTTCCCTGAAGGAATTATCTGACTGGATCAAGTTCAAAATAAAAGTGTTTATAGTTGGAACTTAACGGAATGCTCTGTCAATCACTGTTTCACGCCTTTTCACCCTTTTTGACTCAGCCTTTTCTTATTCATTCCCGACGCTTTTAAGCAAGATGGTGCAAAAACAGCAGGTTACAGAGCTTTCCGTTTAAGTTCATTCTATAAAATATTTTGTGCAAACTCTGCTGGATCTTTCTTTAAGTTAAAAGACAAGCTTCCCAAATGTTCTGTCTCTGCGGCCATTTACAAATATTGTTGGGCTTCGTGTGGAGGATCTTACGTGGGTTCAACTATTCGTAATTTGCGCTGCGGAGTGCGGGAGCACTTGGGAAGGTCTGACCGTGTAGGCAGCATTCTGTCTAACCCATACCATTTGCCCATCCGATGCCATTCACTTGCGTGTGACACTTACTTCAACATCAAAAACTTCTCTGTATGAGAGCGTTGCGGCAATCTTCTTCATATTAGTATTCTGAATCACTTCGTGTTCACCATAAAAAGCCGACGAATATCATGGGAACCGCACGTTCTTTGCAACTAATAAGGTAACATTTTTCATGCGGAGTCAAAGGGATACTTCGCCGCGTGATTTCTGTATATTTTGAAGCTGTAATGTTTATGCACGGAAAGGCTGTGTTGAATTGTGTTAACTGTGACCGTTTTCATGTCTAGCAAAGTCGGACAAATGTTTTAATGTTTCATTGTAACTGAGCTGAGCTTGTATCATTGTACTCGCCCTAGTGATGATACGCAATGTATCAAAACGTTGACAACTACATGAATGATAGCGTCTGCTGTCCTTGCCATAAACTTTCTGCTACCGCCTTCGATCCGAGGACGTCCCATATATGATATTACATATTTTTCTATATACACACCATGTCATCTTGTTTTTTTCAAGGCGAATGACAACCAAGTGTTTACTAAGCTCTTGGGCGAATCGATTCGTGAAATTCCAGCTGGCGTCACGAAGCCGAGTCCATAAGATCCATAACGGGCGGGAGTCCAATGACGAGTAAAATCTTCATGACGCCTGGCTTCCACTTTCGCATGAATTCAACAGATTTCCCACACACAAAATAAACGTTAAAAGAAAAGAGAAGACCCATCTGAAGCACTGCGCATGCCGGCTACCCAGAAACATCCGACCTCTATCGACCAAACAAACCGGCCGGCGGCCAAACCAGCTTGCTCGTCGAACAGTGTGGCGCTTGATCACGTCGGGGGGCTGTCAGGTGGGGAGACATGTCACTCGCGACTTGTAAGCCAAACTTCTCCCCCAAATGTCGCGTTGTGCCCGCGTTTACCATCGAAGTTTGGCAGCATAACACAATACCCATCCCCGCCCCATGTGCTGGTGCTTTCAAGGCCCGAAGGCCGAAGCCAACGACATTTCGGCTGTATTACGAACGAGGCGATTTTCCACTAATCCTAGAACCAGTGGTTCGGGGATTTAAAATTATCTGGAAGGTAAGTACCTTTCATTACACCTTTTAGTCCGGTATGGACGTTCGAACATTACTTAAATACTGCACACGCAGCTTGCACTGTTTTAGCTCTGTTCCTGTACCTAGTTGTTTCCCTATGCCGAATGCCGTTTGCCGTTTATGTCATAATGTGCCGTTTACCGTCATGAGGCTCAATGATGGCATGCCACTGTATCAAAAGATACTAAAAACTGAAAAATTTTGTCCCAACCAAACCGCGCTGAGTACTATAATCTGTGTGACATTTCAATTACGTGCGATTCCCAAACTAACACAGTAATGACTTTCAACTAGATGTGCCGTAAATTAGCGAGCACACCTAAACGGAAGAGGCACATTTCATAGCATGTAATATTGACTAGCTTCATTGTCCTCAGGTACCAATAGAAAAGCTGGACCTTCATCACTACTTGCCACTGTTTTTCGATGGACTGTGCGAGTTGACGCATCCTTACGACTTCCTCGCTAGACAAGGAGTGCACGACCTCCTCCGCAGAGGAAAGGATAAAATTCTGCCAGTGGTGCCTCAGCTCATCATCCCTATCAAAAGTAAGTACCCGATGAAGGTAATGGCAGCTGCGGCCTGTAAGGAAGTTCATACCACGCTTCTAACCCGCACAGCCGTCTACGCGTAGCACGTCAGTAGTTTGCCGTACCTAAGAGTAAGCGGCCTTTGTAAAAATATAAGATAGGTCCCGAAATTTATACGACTGGTATGAATTCGGGCAAAGCAAAATTCAGTTCGAGCTGCAATCTTATTTCTTGGGTCTGCGCTCAGAGTCCACATGTGAGGTCTACCCTACTCATATTATGGGAGTTTGAGCCGGAGTCCCGGGTCCTCGGAAACTCAGTCCCAGTGCGAGTCCATCAACCCTATAGCGCATAAGCCTGGGTCCGAGTCCATGGGTTCCATAACACAGGAGTTGGAGCCCTGACTGAAGCCTAAGTCTTTGCCCGTGAGCTCCACAAGAAACTGCACCGGACTAGCCGAGAGTGAAGACTGTCTGCAGTCAGATATCGCCAGCGATACACATCGTAATGGGTGCTAATCAATCCATTAAGCCGACATCAACATTACATAACTCATGGCGTTTGCGATATAGGCTCTCGGTGCTGACAGGAATCCCCGCCATCTTTTGTGATCACGATTATCTGTCCTGCACGAAACGTACCCGGCAAAATATTCGTCCCGTAAGCGTGTCCCTTGAATTAAGTCACATTCAGTTCGTTGTTGATTTAATTTAATTTGTGAATAAGTTAGTATATAAATTACCAATCTTCGAATATATGAGAACTTGCCTGGTTTAAGCTTAATTCTGAGTTGGGGACGAAGGCTATAGCTTGTTATTGCAAGCTTGAATCTAGATAGGATTCATACGCAAATGCAATCGTCCAAAATCAGTTCAGGACTCCCTCCCCCCCCCCCCCCCCGGTTTCGACCTCATGCCTGGTGCCCGAAGAATTCATTTTCTCGCGATTTCGATTTCGGGATTTGTTTTGAGTGCTTGCCATATACCAAGCTACGTTGTAAACGTGCGGCTTATTGACGGGCGCTACTCATACGTGCGTGACTTCTACGTGCAACACACCTCGCGAGATGCTCCATTCTGTCACGGCTCAATAACAGCTACTAGCTGGTGAAGCACAGCCACAAGGTGGCGCCTACTCGACAGCTTTTCTCCACTGTCAAGGTGGCGCCTACTCGACAGCTCTTCTCCACTGTGTAGATCATCTATCAACCAGATAAAACGGATTATAACATGGCCCATGGCCCATGACACGAAGTGCACACGCGTCACGATACCACGTGCATTCTTTTAATTCTGCAGTGGACAGACGATGGCTGTACTCTGTATGACTGCACCTCCATGTGCATACTTTTATGTATCATGTGCAAGAAAGGCAGTCTCCGGAGCACAAAAATCGCAAATTGCGCGGAGACAGGTGCCATCTTACGTGTCATACGCAAGTACCTCGTGGCTTTATTGACCTGAAGCCCCGTGCGCGCGTCCGCACACTGCTGCACTACGTACCTATAAGTGCAAACACACCAGCCGAACAAGCGAAGACTGCGCTTCTAAAGGCCAGCCGGATCATTGTGCTCTGCAGGGAAGCGTGCAGGAGCGAGTTCACGTGCAACAGGCGTGCAGAAGCGAGTTGACGTGCAATAGGTGGACCTTTTCGTGAATTGGGTCGGGCAAATAAGCCCACGTGTGCAGGTAGACCTACGCATGCTGCCTCTTCGCCTACTTTTGGTGTGTTTCGTTCGGGTGTTGCTGGGCGCCACCGTTCATTTGTTGAGTGATGAGTAAGTGCTAGGAGCGGGGGTTTAGATCCCAGCGTGACATTCCTGGCCAGGTGTAGATGAGCGTGATCCGCTGTGGTAATTCGATCAATAAGAAGACGGCACGCGACGCGAACCGCCGGAGATGGCACGTGCAGGCGCTAACGTGAACGCTTAATGCCATGCATGTGTAGCCTAATAAACCTGACTGCGATTTCAAAGTCACCGACACGTTGCAGCAGCTAAATCAGCTTTCTCAACTCGAACTTTCACAAAAGCAGCAGTCCTGATGCAAGACCCGATTCAGCTGACTAAAATCGTGGCTCCGTAGCCTCGTAAAGCGGGGACTGGAAGATAAGCTGCATGCCTCCCTCCAGCCACAGCCCCATGGGAAGAGACCCTGCGTGCAGGTGACTCTCCGACCAGGCCGGACGGCCGACGCCAGCCTAGCGCTGCTGCTGTTTCAGATGCGCTCAACACGCGGGCACCGTCCATCCTCTGCGTGACGCTGCAGGTGCTGCAGCACCTGGCGCTGTCGGCCGACCACGTGGGAGAGGCGCTGGTGCCTTACTACCGCCAGATCCTCCCCATCCTCAACCTGTTCGTCAACAAGAACGGTACGGTTGCTGTGCGTCTTCCCCCCCCCCCCCCGTTTCCGAGAGCAGTATTTGAGCTGCTCACGTCCGTGGTCGCCTCGGGGGGTTTGGAGTAGAGGGATATGTTTTGTCTTCTTGTCAGGTAGGGACCACTGAGCACGTCGTCTGGAAGGGAGGGAGAGGGAGGTGAGTCCATCCAATTAAAAGCCGTCATGCCCCTGAAGACTGCTGACTAAAGGGCTGCACTCCGCGGGGGGTGCATCGTGCGGGCCCCAGGATATTCGGGGAGATTGGTGACGTTTGCGTTTGCCAGTGGCGTGAAAGGTAAGTTTTTGGAGCGCTTACTCCGCAAGTTATAGGTCGGCTACGGAGCCAGCAGGTGTATTCGCCTCGTCAGCGTATAGAATAGGTAACGGGAAAAAATATGTGATTCCTCCGATCCACAAGTGTGGATAACTCACAACTGCCCCCCCTGGCTCGGACCTTCCCTGTGCTCCCTCACTGTGCTGTTTGCAGTATGTCTAAGCGGCGGCAACGTCGCTTGTTCGCTCCGCAGAAGTGTTCGTGCCCAACGTTAAAGGTACCGTCTCGTTCAGTCAACCAGGGAGACGGCATCGACTACTCGCAGCAGAAGAACACCAACTTGGGCGACCTCATCCAGGAGACGCTCGAGATCTTCGAGAAGACGGGCGGCGAGGACGCATTCATCAACATCAAGTACATGGTGCCCACATACGAATCGTGCGTACTGAACTAGTGCGACGCGAGCAGCGCGGACCGAGGCGCTCACCGGCGCCGGGCTAAATCGTCAGTCACGTCCTAGCGTCTTTCACACAAATGTGCTTGTCGAGCTTTTTTGAATATTACCACGCACCTAGCCTGACTCGCTTGTTTGACGCGAAAGACCGCAGCTACATCACACCACGCCTAGGTCGAGCGGGACGGGCCAGCCCCACCCCGCCGCTGCAGCAGACCACAGCGCTATGCATTAGACGCAAATAAACTCGTATCTGCAGTTATGAACATGTATTAAGACATCTTATTATAGCATGTATGATAAAACTGTGTGCATGGAGGCTCTCACGCGTACGGGCGACTCGCGCTGCCGCGCACATACGCGCTGATGCCAGCACGGCTAGGGTAAGACCGATATCACAGGTACAACAGGGAAAAGGAACGCGCAGTCTGCCGCCCGTAACTCACACTCCGAGCCGAGCAGCCGCGCCCCGGCACAGCCAGAGACGTGTGACGACGGAGCCGCACGCTGTATGTTGTCCGCGAAGACGAGCACACGGTGACCGCTCCCCCGACTGTATTGGCCACGGACCTGCCTCACGAGCGCGGACGTGTCCTGCGGCGAGCCCGTGAGGCCGCACGGCTCACACGGACACGCGCGCGGCGGGCCACGGGGCGTCGAGGGAGCGGCGGTTACATCGGCGAGCGGGCGGCAGGCCACCGTGGCCGTCCCTCAGCGTGCCTGTAACAACCGCTGGCAACCGGAGACATCGCCGCGGACGGCCGACGCTCGTGGGCGATCGATGCTGGAGCGAATCGAGCGGCCCCCACCGCCAACTCGGTCCAGCCTAGTCCCTAGCCGGCAACAGGTGTATCGAGGGGAATTCGTCCAGCGGTGCTCGGCAGCGCAAAACAGGGCACAAAACAGCGCGCCATACACAGGGCGCTAAACACAACGGTGCGATGGCAGCGACACATACACAAGACCGCTAGCCGCGGCGCTTGTCATTGTCTTACGAAAATATCATGGAATTAAACGCTGCAACTGCGTTACATCGCGGTAAAAACAGGAAGGACGTGCAGACCGTTGGCCCGCATGATAGGCGACAGCCCACGCCACGGCTGTTCGAGCGGCCTTCATCCAACGGTCAGTCCTTCTGGAAATGTGTAACCACACTGACGATTCCAAGACTCCCCGCTTCGAGGGTTCAGGAGACGTATAAAACACATCTGAACGTCAGCTAAGCCATGCGAACGCTGCACGTGCGCGGTGTGAACAGGAAACGCCGATACGGAACGACAGCAGCCACCAGGCATCAGGCAGATCCAGTAACTTCGAACACCACGACACCCACACAACTTTATACTACAAATCTAGATGACCAGACGGGAACAAGTCGCCTTCGGGCAGCGTACGTGCTTCCGCGACAAGGCCGTCCATGTACATACTTCTGTGAGACTCGCTATGAGGGAAGATTATTTGTACCCTTCGAAGAGCAGACAACGTCCGACAAGAAGTCAAGGCCGGTAAAATACTTTTCTTTGTGTACCTCAGCTTGGTTCACACGCACGAACTCACATCCATACACTGCTAACAATTATGAGATGGTGGCTTTGGAGCACAACACTACGCTGTCTAAAAATTAGCAAGAAAACCGACCGGGCTTGGATAGGTCAGTCGATAAAGGGAAGGGCCTGCCGAACCCTAAAAGCCCCGACGCCCATGTAACGATGAACGAGGTAGTGGCGCGGCGGCGACGCACCACACAGCCTCTCGCCGGGGCCTTCACGCCCAGCTCCCCTTCGCTGCCCGTCCAAGAGCGACCAGGTACCGGGAGCGACTCGCTCCAGTCGCGGGGCGGCCACGGCGGCGCTGCCCACCGTCCGGCCTGCCCTCAGCCCAGGTGGCGCCACTGCTGACCGCCCGCGGGCGTCCCCACCGTGCGGCGTCCGCGTCCCGCCAGCCAGCACACAGTGCGGGCGGGTCCCTGGCTGCCAAGCGCCACCGGGTCCTCCCCGGCCCAGACACGCGCGGCACGCCGACCACGCCGTCCTGCTGCGGCCCGCTGCCAGCAGTCTTGTCTGCTACGAGTCCCCCCCCCCCCCCCCCCCGGTACTGCCACCCGCCACACGAACCGGTGACCTCAACCTGCGAGCCGCCGCCGCCGCCGCTGCGCTGCCTCCGCGACTGCCGGCCGGCCAGCACCTCGCCGTGACCACCCCGTCTTGAAGCGGCGGTCACCGACCCGTGGCCTCTCCCGCCAGCGGATCGGACCTTCCCGCGCAAGCCTCGGTCACCAAGTGACGCCAAAGGCTCGCCGGCGCGGCTTTGTCGGTTCCCACAGCTTCCACCTGGTCGGCCGTGCTCCGCCTCCAGAGACGGGCGGCTACGGCGCAGCGGCCGGGGCTCGGGGCGGCCGCCTCAGGCGCTGGCCTCGGTGCTGCTGGAGGTGACGCTGGCTGCTCGTGCGCCCTCCGGCGTCAGCGTCTGGCTGGAGCTGCTGCCAGAGTCGGAACAGTCGAGAGCCAGCTGCAGGCTGAACCGCTGCAGCACCTGCTCCCGGCCCGGCTCCCTCGGCTCCCGCTCGTCCGGCCCCCGCGGCTCCGGTCTGCGGTGGCGGGTCACGTCAAGTCAGGTCGGGTTGGGTTGGATCGGGTCGGGTCGGGTCGGGTCGGGTCGGGTCGGGTCGGGTCGGGTCGGGTCGGGTCGGGGCAGGCAGTGGGGGCTGCGACGGCGATGAGGACATAACGATTGCAAGGTCGATTAAGTTAGTTGCTGAGCTTAAAAGGCGCGTCAATTGCATTGGTTATTTGCGTCGTGCCGATAAAAATCGCATAACATGACACAATCCCTGACGAGGCGAAATCAAAGCAGCTAGCCAGGGCGCGCATCAGCCGGAGGGGACGGCGCCGGTGGTCTGCCTGGGTCGCGGCCGGGCCGTTACACAAGACGAGCTCATGATCGGGAGACCGCGAGCTCTGGGTCCGGTGTCCCACAAAGGACGTCAACTGTCGTCGGATGCTATCAACGGTGGCAAAGCCCGTGTCTTGAGCGGTTCGGTGCGCTGATAAAGGGAAGGGAGAGCAGGCAAAGTGGGCAGAGCGGGGGGGACGGGCCACGCCGGGGAGGCACGGCTAGCACAACTGTCTGCGGCGACGGTTGCACCCGTGGGCGACTCCTACGCAAAGCGAGCACTGACAGACACACGCCCTGCAGTGTGCCGCCGCTGTTGGCCAATGGCACGGAGGAGGGGAGTGTTCAGCAGTCATGGGAAGAGGCGTGAAAAGCGCCATGCTGTGGCACAGAACATTGCCGAGGTCACATGTCGGCATTCCTCACTTGGGAACTAGGAATATTTCCCCCACATAATGACCGCAGCGTTTACTATGACTGACCCAGAACTTAGCACTGAAGGTCGCTAACAAGAAGTTAAAAAAAAAACAGTAGTTCAGGGTCAGAGGTGTAACAGGCTGCGAATCCAAGCTTCGCTCGGATGTAAAACCTGTCCCTCTTTCACACCAAAGGCGCGTGGGAACTGACCAAGTTAGCGTCAATGACCATTGCTTCACGTTCCACATCGAACCACCCGCTGCCTGACAAACCGCCGCCACACCCGACAAACCGCAGCCACACCTGACAAACCGCCGCCACACCCGATAAACCGCCGCCACACCCAACAAACCGCCGCCACACCCGACAACCGCAGCCACACCTGACAAACCGCCGCCACACCCGATAAAACCGCTGCCACACCCAACAAACCGCCGCCACCACCCGACAAAATGCCGCCACCACCCGACAAACCGCCGCCACACCTGACAAACTGCCGCCACACCTGACAAACTGCCGCCACACCACGAGTACACCGCGACCCTGGTCGGGCACGGCCACTGACCTGGGCGTGCTGACCGGCGACCGGCGGCCGTCCGCAGCAGTAACAGCAGCAGCGGGAGGCTCCGGTGGCGCGTCGGTCGGCGGCGCCACCACCAACACGGCGTGGAGGCGACCGCTGGGAGCGCGCCGCTCGCTGGCGCGCAGCTCGGGCAGCGCCACCGCCTCGCTGTAGGGCGGCGGCGCCTCGCCGGCCGGCTCGGCCGCCTTCCAGAGCGTGTAGGGCGGCGGCGGCTCCTCGTAGTAGAACTCGTGCGAGCCGCGGCAGCCGGCCGGGCCGCCCAGGTAGCCCGAGCCGCGAAGGTAGTTCATCAGGGTCATGTTGTACGCCTCCTCGGCGCGCAGCGACGGTGCCCCTGGCGGGAGCCGGCGGCATGAGCGGACACTGGGAGGTCAGTGACGGCCAGCTGACGGGAGGCCAGACGCGCAACGGCACGGTCGCAGCGCAGACGGCCGAGCATATGGTAAGCTTGCTGTACACAGGAGTTGTACTGGACGCTTATTCAGTAATGTACAGCGTGCTATGTCTGCGCATATGCATTCCCGTTTATGACACTCTCCAACATAATACGGCGATTTCGAAAGCCGAGTCGGTGTGGTTACGAGGAGAGACATGTTAGAAAGGACACTCGTAGCAGCAATCTAACACGGGTTCATTGAAAGGCATACATTGAAAACAGCTCAGATATAGACACGAACTATACACCCTAACCATAGTCAGGCATACACACGGTCGGCGGCGGCGCGCAGGGCACAGTTCAGGATCTTTGGGACGTATGGTGTGCTCTTCTCCGACCCGTTGCCATAGACGGCAAGGCAATACCGGAGGTGCGAGAAGCCTCGGTATCGGCCAGGGTAGGCGCAGGGCCCGGCGGGATCTGATGACGCCACGGCACAGCCTGATGAAGACACCGCTGCGCTCTTTGACGAGGGCAGATACGTGACAGTCCGAGGCGAGGTGCCTGTCGAACACTATACCAAGGTTTCTCACGATGGGGCCCTAACGCACTGCCTCCTCGCCAACCGAGTAAAGGGAGCCATGCCGCGACAAATTTGATGGCAACGACAGACAATGAGCTTCGTTCCACTAGTCTTTTTCAGACCATAGAAGTGGAACCAGATGTTCAGAG